TTTGGGTTTTAGAACTAAAAGTCGTGTTTTGTGCTCAGAATCACCCAAATACACTTTAGAGGATGTAAAATAAAAAAATAAAGCAAATGTTGATCAATTTGGAGCAAATATGCATGAAAAAGGAGACACAGAAACAAACCCGTAAAAAGATGCGCAAAAAGAGTAGAACCAGAATTCATAGCATGAAGGAGTGTTACGCACGGGCAATGGCACGTCCGTGTGCCACCCATGCATTAAGCACAGGCACGGCCTACCTTTTGCACGAGTATATTGCGCTCGTGCCCTACCAGTACATCCGCACGGGCAATCGCACGTCAGTGCGTGTGCACGTGCGCCGAACCCTGAAAATCCACTATAAATAGATCATTTTCCCTTTTTGCAAAGAGATTACAGATCAGAGCTGCCAAATGAAGACTGTAGTAGTAGGGAAATTCCAAATTGAATTAGGTTATTTTATTCTTTTCGTTGTCATTCCATTGTTATCTCATTGTTATCTTTTGATAGTTTGTATTTCTTAACTTAGATTATCTTGTTCTTGTGTTTATTAGCTTTATCTTGTGAATCTTTACTTATTTGAAGAGCTATTTCTAGTTTTATTTCCTTAATATATTGTTGGATGATGTTCTTTATGAATGTTCTTGTGCTTTGTTCATTTATTATTAGTGAGTAGAGTAGTATAGGGTTTGGGTAGTGGTGTGTTCAATGCTTATTTAACAGTTATTTCATACAAGGGCTTGAGACCCAACCTAGGGTTCTTGTGTAGTGAGATGTTTTGGATGTTAGTGTTGATGAGTTTGTGCACAACCTGTCAATACTTGTCTAGTATGGGGATTTTGGCAACCGAATGAGCAAGGAGTCCACTGGTTATCAGACCCCTAGACTCATCTCTCAATCATCAATTTCCTTTAGACCACATCTCACGACCTTCAGGTTCACTTACGAGAGTAGGGACCGTTGAAGGTCCAGACTACTCATGCTTATTGAGGGGGATTAGTAGCGTCACGAGAGTGAGATCCAACCCCCGTGTTCCAATTCAGCCTAACATTGGATCACGAGAGTGACATGTTAGTATACTAAATTGGTGTTGTTAGTCTTGAACCCGACGGTGAAGTTTCGTAACCCTCAATCCTTTGTTTTATGGCATCAGACGAATAAATACCATTCCAATCCCTACCTTTTTATTTATTGTTTTTATCCCATTATTTCCACTTCTATGCTCATCATCATGTTACCATCTTATTATCCGTTGCTTAGCTTCCATAAAATGTTCATGCTTGTGCCTAGAACATATATTCTCCCTAAACCGTGTCATGCGGCCCATATTCGAAAACTCACTACCCCAGTGCTCAGTAGTACTTGCCACATCGTTAAAGTCTCCCAACATGACCCAAGGTCCATTACAGGAGCTCGCAAAGTCCTTACAATCGTTACAGAATAATTCCTTTGTTACATTATTAGGTCTCGTATAGGCAAAGGAAAGGTGTGCAATTATACTCCCTCCTCTCTTCACAATGCAATGAATCATTTGGAGTTGTGGCTAACCACCTCCAGGGACATTCTATCTGGATAATGGTTCTCACCTGCTTGGCCTCTAGTGACAGCCTCCTCTTTCCAAGAAGATAGGTGTGTCTTAAGGCTCGCTCGTCAAAACCCTGAAAAATAGCAAAGGAGTTCTCATCATAAGAATTATTGTCAGCTGACTTACCTTTTCCCCACAGGTTGTTCCTCGCGTCGGCAGGATTAATTCCGATTTTGAGGGGTCCAATGCTTCTCTTTGTCGTAGGCCTGATCGCCTTGTTTGTTTGAGCATGCATGACTCCTTCACGGTTTTGTGGTGAAGTTTCATCTTCCCATTAATGTGACGATTCTGAATCTTTGGTTTCCCTCCTAGGTTCCGTCTGTTTAGTTTTCTTGACGCAATCATCCATGCCCCATATTTCGGTTCGTTGGTTTTCTTCGTGGCTTCATGTTCATGCCAACTACCGTCTGCATATTGGGGTCAAAGACCCTAATAGGACAAAAACAACTACTATAATAAAAATAGGACATTTTAAAAATGCTTACAAGAATGGAAAAAATTACTTTCCTAAATGCGTATGTTGTCAATTTTTTTTGAGCGAATTCCATTTTTGGTTCTACTGTTATAGGGTTGTTTCCAACTTCAGTCCACTTTATTTTTCTTTGTCACTTTACAACCACTGTTATTGAATGTGTTCCACTTTTAGTCCACCGTTAATATTTCCGTCAAGAGGCCATATAATTAAAGGGTATTTTGGTCTTTTTATGTTTGTCTCTTCTCTTTTAATCCAGGCGCTTCATCCTCCTCCCCCGATATTCGAAGATGGCTCTTCGAACAACGAGAATGGGAAGCCAAAGCTACATCGTTTCGTTCGTTCCAACATGGGCCGGCGAGGTTTCTTAGGTTTTAGGTTTAATGTTCTCATTTCTTTAGTCAAACATAGTCTTGGATGAGAAGAAAGGTCAAAATACCCTTAGATTACACGGCCTCTTGATGGAAATACTAACGGTGGGACTAAAAGTGGAACACATTCAATAATAGTGGTTATAAAGTGGCAAAAAAAAAATAAGGTGGACTAAAATTGAAAACGCCCCTATAACAATAGGACCAAAAATGAAATTCACTTTTTTTTTTTTTTTTCTTTTGTGGTCAAACAGACACGACTTGCGTATGTTTTTTTTATTTTTTTATTTTAAAAAAAACTTAGTCTCCGATTTTTCCGACGAAAGAGAAGGCAACCAATTTGGTCGCTGGCTTTTCCATCAACTAGAGAAGCCAGCGACCAAACTAGTCGTTGGCTTCTCCCCCGCAACCAGTTTGGTCGTTGGTTCTCCAGCGAAAGAGAAGGCGACCAAACTAGTTGCCTTCTCCTTCGTCGGAGAAGCCGGCGAACCAATTTTTTTAAAAAAAAATACATACGCAAGTGGGACTTGCGTATCTCGAGATACGCAAGTCCCCCTTGCTTGTCTATTTGACCACAAAAAATTAAAATCTAACAACATATGCATTTAAGAAAGTAATTTTTCTTATTATTGTACGCGTTTTTAGAATGTCATATTTTTATTAACAGTTGTTGTTTTTGTCCTATTAGGATCTTTGTCTCGCATATTGGTGCCCTTGTTTGCATCCTTCTCCACTTCCTTTGGAGCCTTGCTCAATGGGCACTTTGTCGATCACTCGATCTATGTCCCATTGTGCCACATTCAAAGCAAATGGTGTGAATGACCTCAAACAAATAAAGAAATTAAAACAAAAAAAAAGACATATGGACAAATCAAGAAATATTGAAAATATAATGAATTAAGAACAAATATGAAATATTGAAAAGTAAATACTTGAGATTTGCAAAGTAATAAGATTAACTTATATATTATCCAATATCTTATGCGACAATAATATCATATTACTTTAATTGTCAGATTACTTGAATCAAACAAGAAATATAGTATTATCTTTCTCATATTATGAGAGTAAACCAAATACTCTTAACATAATAATCCACATCTAACCGGACGTTTGGTTGGAGGAAATTTAAATTCCATTCCCACTTAATTCTCACCTAATTCTAAAGGTCACTAATTTCCTTAGTTTGGTTGGAAGGAATTGCAATTCCGCAATTCCCTCATTTTCATGGAGTTAAAAACTTAAAATCCCATGTCCTCCTTGGAATTTTAATTCCATGGATCTTGGGAAGAAAAAAAGATAATGATGAGGCAAAATTACCCTCCATTTTTTAACCTAAAATTGATTCCTCACAACAACAATGAGCATTTTGGACTTTATACTACTTATTCCCTTTCAATTTCCATGTATACCAAACATTGGAATTGAAATTCCCAGCAATTTTATTCCTGTAAACCAAACACTGAAATTTAAATTCTCACTTTATTCTCAGTAATTCATCTCCCATAGAATTGCAATTCAATTCCCACCTAATTCCCTCCTTCCAACCAAACGCCCCGTAATATTTTGTGAATCAAACGTGGGTTAAATGCTAACGGGGCGTTTGGTTGGAGAGAATTACTATTTCATTCCCACCTAATTCCGAAGCCAAGAAAATTCCTTTGTTTGGTTGGAGGGTGTTTCAATTCCACAGAATTGAAATTCCCTCAGTTCCATGGAATTAGAATCCCATGCCCCCTTAATATTTCAATTCCATGAATTTTTAGGAATAAAAAATAAAATTTTGAGACAAAATTACCCACATTTTTTTAAATCAAAAATTGATAATAATAATAAGTATGGACATTTAGACTTTATACTACTTATCCCCTTTCAATTCTCATGTATATAGGGGTGACTGCGGTTCCGATTCCGGTTCGATTCTGGTTTCGCAAATGACCAAACCGGAACCGGAACCGAAACCTTATAGTAAGGTTCCGGTTTCGGTTGAAACCGCCGGTTCTAACCGGATTTATTAAAAAAAAAAAAAGTTATACGCCTATATTTTTAAATTTTTTCGGTTTGGAACCGGAACCGGCGGTTCCGGTTCCTTTTCATTTCAAACCTTAACGGGAACCGAAACCGTACGAACGGTTCGGTTCCGATTCCAGTTCAACAGTGCACGGTTCGGTTCGAACCGAACCGTGGTCATACCTACATGTATACGAAATATTGGAATTGAAATTTTCAATAATTCTATTCCTGTAAATCAAACACCGAAATTTAAATTCTCACTTTATTATGAATAGTTTATCCTCATGAAATTGTAATTCTTTTTCCACATAATTCCATTACCCAACCAAATAAAGAAGATAAACCAAATAGGAAGTGAATCAAAACAATAAATAATTATTACTCACAAAAATCAGCAATAGACACAACGCACAAAGACAACTAACAGAAACTCACTTTGCCTAAATCGCCCAACTACTTACTGACAACTGACCCCACAAACCCCACCCGCCATTTACCTCATTAAATTCTTGCATCATCTCTCTCTCTCTCTCTCTCTCACTCTCTCTCACTCTCAGGAGTCTCAGCTGTGGAGTTGTTGAAGTTGGGTGTCGGGTGAGCCTATACTTGACTGCAAAGCAAAGCCCTTCTGTTTCTTTCTCCTTTTCGATTGGGTGTGTGCGTGCCAATTGTTTGTATTTATGTGCGTGTAGTTGTTGCTTCTATCGTGTATCTGAATTTTGGCATTTTGGTGTAGCGGCAGGGCGTAGTGATATGGCAAGGAAGAAGATCAGAGAGTACGATTCTAAGAGGGTTCTGAAGGAGCATTTGAAGCGTCTGTCTGGCATCGACCTACAGATCTGCTCTGCTCAAGTACTCCTATCTTTCTCTGTGTCTTTGTTATACTCCTGATATAATTGTCATTGAAACTTGGGATTGAATTTCTGCTTAAATTTATGATGACCTTAGTCTAGATCTTTGTTGTTTGGATGGTTGGGTTATTTCTTTGCTGTTTGATCAATGCAACTCAAATCTAATATGGGTATGTTCTGTATCTTGAAGTATTCTGATATGTTGTTTCATTTTGGTTCCAGTAAAGTAATGATCTTCATGTACCAAACAAAATGATAAAGGCCTAAAGCCTAAAGGGTTGATCTTATGTGATTTTCATGTCAATGGCAATCATTATGGGCAAGTATAGGGCTCAATTGCCACAGCCAATCTTGTTTGGTAATTAGTGGCAATGATAAATCAGCAGCTTAGTAACTTATTCCTGCAAGATGTTCTGGATCAGTTCATCTGAGTTATTAGTTCTAGATTATAACAAATTAGCCTTAAATGCCTTTCGATTCTATATTACTAATTCCATAGCTTCTGTTAGATGATCACAACTCAACTAAACCAAGCCTTAACCCCATACTAGTTGGTTAGTTAAATACATGCATTGTATCCAACCATTCAGTTCTGCTAAGCACTGCACCTTTTGTAAGCTGCTAGCATATCTTTCTTAATGATTTCAATCGAAGTACTTTTATTCATTTTATTTTCTATATCCTATTGCTGCCATGTAATATGGTATCTCTCGCTATAACCAAGTTGCATTCATCCATCTATGCTGAGCATCACCATATTAGCTAGTCGAATTTATCTTAATTCGTTCTAAAAAGGAACCACTTGTCCCTTAATTTCTAATAGAATCTTTTGTTGTATTCCCACATGTCTATGCCAGCACTCTCATCACGCAAACAGTTTTTAAAATACCACTGACACAGTCTCCTCCTGAGACTGAAAAGGTCTTTCCCCCTCTTTAGTCATATGACCTCATCGTTACCTCTCTCCATTGTTGAATATCTTCCCAGTTTACGCTCGGGGTTAAAGTTATAAAAAGATAAGGGGAAAAGGGTCAAATAAGTCCTTGAACTTTACACGAGGAAGAAATTAGGCTCCTGAACTTTTAAAAGTTGCAATTAGACACTCTAACTTGTGATTTTGGTGCATTCGAACCCAATAACCGGTTATCCTCCTAGAATAACCAGTTAATGAAGTTCCGGCGATGAAATCCTCCACCTGTGACGGTCACCGGTCGCGTGAAGAAGGCAGCTGGATTGGTCGCCTTCTTGTTTCCAAGAAGGCGATCAAATCTTGTCGCCTTCTTCAGTGAAGGCGACCAGTCCGGTTGATTGCCGCTTGATTTGGTTGCCTTTTTTGCAAATGACGGTGATTTTGTTATCAGCGACGGTAGTCAACGACGGTCTGGATCGTAATTTTACAGGTAACCAATTGTTTACCTGTAAATTGGATTTATTTGATGGATTTTAATAAATTGGAGTGTTTAATTGCAACTTTCAAAAGTTCAGGGGCCTAATTGCTTTTTTGTGTAAAGTTCAAGGGACTATTTGACCATTTTCCCAAAAATAAGTAATGCTTGTAAAGACAACAATATAAAATTAGCTGGGCATTGTTTTAAAAGATTTTGCTCAAAGATAATATGCATATTCTATCAAATTTAACTAAAGTAATTTGCAAATGTTACAAACTTAGAGGGGGTAAAGCCAATTTGCAAAATAGTTGTTTGTTACTTTTTTTTTCCCTTACTGTTGATGGGAAATCAAACTCCAACCTTCTCTGTTCCTGGACTGTTACTTGTGGTTATGTTCATTTCTACCTGATAAAATGAGCAGGAACCATAATAAAGCAAGTCCTTTTTTTCCTATTAATTTTGTTTCATATGGTGTGAATGTGTGATTCGGTATATGTAATGTTGCTGTCATTTGATACTTCATTTTCAGCTTTATTGGTTTTAAGGCAAAATTATATGAGTCTATCATGAGATTCATTACACAATAACCTTTTGTTCAGTTAAAAATGTACTTATTCCAAACCCAAAAACTTTTTGTTAGGTAACAGAATCTACGGATTTTGCTGAGTTAACAAACAAAGAACCATGGCTTTCGTCCACAAAATTGGTTGTAAAACCAGACATGTTGTTTGGGAAGCGTGGAAAGAGTGGCTTGGTGGCTTTGAAGTTGGATCTAGCAGAAGTTGCTGAATTTGTCAAAGCACGTCTTGGTGTGGAGGTCGGTATAGCATTGAATTCATTTGGTTATTCTTGCTTTTTATTATGTGAGAAATAGTCTACTTATACATGGCTATGATCTTGTCCAGGTTGAGATGGGTGGCTGCAAAGCACCTATTACAACCTTCATTGTTGAACCATTTGTTCCCCATGCCGAGGAGTATTATCTTTCAATAGTATCTGAAAGGTTAGGGTGTACCATTAGCTTCTCAGAATGTGGAGGCATTGAAATTGAAGAAAACTGGGACAAGGTTAGATTGTATAAGAATGATATAGCATTCATAGTTTGATTATTTTGCAAACTTTTGTTTTATTGATAAAAATCATCTATTATTAGCTGGAGCTATCATTCTGATTAAAATTATTTGAACTCTGAATTTATCATTTTCCATAATGTTGCAGGTCAAGACAGTATTCCTTCCAACTGAAAAGCCTATGACCCTGGAGGTGTGCGCACCACTGATTGCTACTCTTCCCTTGGAGGTGGGATATGAATACTACTTGTTGAGTTTTTTTTTTTTTTTTTTTTCTTCAATAGGTAGTATTGTCAGTTCTTAAAAATGGAAACATTTATCAGTATTCCTTAGTGCTGGTTTGTTTTCTAGATTTCATTATAGTTGTTATATTATGATGGACATACATGTTTTCTGTGTTCATAAAATGAAGGAAACTGGTCTGTGCTTTCTCTTGTTTGATATCTGTTTTCATCAATATTCCAGCAATATCTGTAATCACGCATGTACATATGAATGTATATGCATATATATTCTGGTAATATGAACTGAAACTCTTTTCTACTAGTATTGTGTTCCTTCATTATCCTAAAACATAAGTTTAATTTTTTGTTTCAGGTACGGGGGAAAATTGGCAATTTTATATTGGGTGTGTTTTCTGTTTTTCAAGGTATGTCATTTTCAGTATATTTCCTATCGACCACTTTCTACATGTACTTTTGTTTTGGGGGTTTGGGATATGATATCATCTATTGTGACTATTAAGCATAGCAAATGATGTAGTGGCCTCAAATCCAAAATCATGAAATTGATATCTTTATTGTATTATGGAGAGGAAATTAACTTTTTCATTTTTTTTTAATTAATTCCTGTGCTCTGATGATTTTTTTTTTATTATATGAACATTTTCCACTTTTTATTTGTTTTTTATCCTTAACAGACCTGGACTTCAGTTTTCTTGAGATGAATCCCTTTACGCTTGTCAATGGTGAACCATATCCCCTGGACATGAGAGGAGAGTTAGATGACACAGCTGCCTTTAAAAACTTTCAGAAGTATGTATAGAATATACTAAAGCAAAAAAGGGAGAATGAAGTGGCTTCTATTATTTCCAGCTTTCTTTAACATCTACCCAATCTATCATTCTTTTTTCTAGGTGGGGCAATATTGAGTTCCCTCTGCCTTTTGGAAGAGTTTTGAGCCCAACAGAAAGTTTTATTCATTCCTTGGATGAAAAAGTAAGTAAAAATGGGCAGCATTTTTGTTATTGCAAATGTGATTGCGCCAGCAAGCTTATGCATTTGATATCCTTATTGCTATTAAAGATAATTTTCTGTCTAGTGTCACTCTTTGCTTTGCTGAATCTCCTTGTGTAGGCATAAGATGAGTTCTTGAATGAGTGGCATAATAATTTTTCCCCCTCACATTTTCCAAAGCTGTAGAAGTTGTCTTTCTTGTTAGTTGTGATGGTTATTTTGTTTTGGCTTGTGATTGGTTCACTGCTTCCAACAGTTTTATGTTTTGTTTCAATTTTATGCAGACCAGTGCCTCTTTGAAGTTTACTGTCTTGAATCCCAAAGGTCGAATTTGGACAATGGTTGCTGGAGGTGGAGCAAGTGTAATATATGCTGATACAGTGAGTGCTAAGCTTTGATCCTCCAAAATCCAAATTAATTTAGATCTTGACACATGCACCCGAAGGATGCAATGTGCTTTATTTAGATGCCATCTTGGGATTCTCATACTCCAATAGTCGATTTGCTCATTTATGATCTATTCCTCAATTAAACCAGGTCGGAGATTTAGGCTATGCATCTGAGCTTGGTAACTATGCAGAATATAGTGGAGCTCCAAATGAAGAGGAGGTTTTACAATATGCTCGTGTAGTTCTTGATGTGAGAATTTAACCTTTGTTTTCTATTGATCAATGTGAGAGAATATTTGTAGACTTTGGTCATTGACCAATTTTTCTTGATATCATAGTGTGCCACAGCTGATCCAGATGGCCGTAAGAGAGCTCTCATTATTGGAGGTGGCATTGCTAATTTTACTGATGTTGCTGCTACCTTCAATGGAATTATCCGGGCTCTTAGGGAGAAGGTTGGTCATATCAAACAGATATGCGTGTGGTTTTTTCCCTTAAATTATCCAGTGCATAAAGACAACAACATGTTTGTTTTAAACCGACAGGAATCCAAGTTAAAAGCTGCTAGAATGAACATTTATGTTCGAAGAGGTGGCCCTAATTATCAAACAGGTTTGGCAAAGATGCGTGCATTGGGTGAAGAGTTGGGAGTTCCCCTAGAGGTATGAGACATGTCTTTTCCCAGTCTTCTAAATGACACAATTGCTTTCTACTGTGATAAGAAACGTCGTTAAAATCCTATAAAACAAGTGGAATATATGAACATTCAGTTTCAAAGGGCAAAGAGAATGCAGTTTCCTATCTCATTTATTCTCATATGGAAAAAGAAATATATTTTGCGGTTTGCTTTTCAGGTTTATGGACCTGAGGCTACAATGACTGGCATTTGCAAACGGGCTATTGATTGCGTTATGTCTTAAGCATAGATATAAAAGTTCCCCTTTTAAATTCATGCAATGCTCTGGTGTTTCATCCACTCTTTTCAGACTCTCTTCCCATGCTTGAAAGGAAACTGCATTTGCTGAATTTATGAAAAACTTTGCAATAAGGGGGAAGCCTCATATTTCTGTGGATGGTTTTCTGAAATTTTACGGATATTTTATATTTGTTGTGAAATTTGCGTTATCTTTGAATGTTCGCGGAAGCAATTAGGGTGGTAACACTAAAATTGGAGTAGTTCAACTGTTCTAATTGCATTGCTCCAACTAGAGTCTTACTATTTTAGTTGAAAATTTTATACTTGAAAGTAATATGTAATTGAGTTTTTTGCATTTTTGATCCTACGAGTATTGTGACACTAACATGGTTACTTCACGATTTTCAAACTTTACAAAATAGATCTACGATTATCATTGTTTTTAGCCCAAATGGTCCTTCCGACTCATTCTCCGTCCATTTGTGACCTGAAATTCCCCCCCCCCCCCCCCCCCCCTCCCTTTATAGTAGGGTTAGAATAGTCATTTTATTTAACCCTCTATTGACCTAAAAAAAATAAAAATAAAAAAGAAGTCCACCCTCCTCTCTTGTGAACCCTTACATCTGCTCTCATCTCAATAGTAGTCACTCTCCTCACTCGTGAACCCTAACCTAAATCCAATTTGAAATTAACCCAACTGAAAGCATTGATATTGGAACACGATTTCATGGTTTGAAGTTCAAGATTAGTTTGAAGCTCTCATAATATTCAAGTCTCCAAAGTCCAAAGTGAAAATAGAAGAATGAGTTCACGTAGGTTGAGAAGTGATTTGCTGCAATGTGATAAGTTTTCAATGTCTAAACTATTTTATTTGCAGTATATTTGTGTCTATAGTGTGGTTTATATGTGTGGGTGTTTGTATGGTCCTTTTGCTATGTTAGTACTTTTGTTATGTTTTTGAAAATTTTCACACTATGTTTACATAAAGTCATAAAGTATATTATGCACAGTGTTTGTACTGAATGTTTATATAAAGTGTTCCTGTCATGATATATTACTTTATTATGCACTATGTTTACATACAACTGTACTGCAGACTTGTTTTTAGGGCAGCTACTGATATGAAAGAACCCCATATTGTCATAGGATTGATTTTTTCTAACAAACAAGAGTTTAAAAAAGCAGTCACCAATTATGCCTTTAACAATGGTTTTAAAGAATGTTAAAGAAAGATTAGTTGTGAAATGTAGGCATATTAGTTATCCCCGACAGTATCTCTAAGAAAGCAACAAAACTCATTAAATTGGAGCATCCTTAGACTGACAGATAGACATGATAGTTGTTGTTGGAGTTTTGAGAATTCAAGAGCAACTTCCAAAGAGGTGGAGTAAGGAGATTGCCTCCATGATGACTGGAAAATGGAAGACTTTAGGCAAAGAGTGTGTAAAGATGAAAGGTTTCATATTAGAACACATCAAGCTTATTGAGCAATGAAAAAAAAAAAGAAGCTAAAATTCAAATAAGAGGTAATGAAGACGATAATTTCAAAAAGATTTGGAGTTATTGTCAAGAAATTATATGATTAATCCTATGGTAACCTGTGTGGTGAAGCTGAGTGAAAAATATTGAACTGTGTGGGGGAAAGGGATTTTTTAGACTGCACATGTGTTAGAATGGTGTGTGCTATATGGACCTGTTGAGAACACTATTGAGCCAAATGTAATGGTACACTGCCAATGCAAGTCTCGGTTCAAATTCTAGAACAAGCAGTCCAAGTTGAACCTTACTAAGAATGGATTGAGAATATCCTACGGACCACCTCTTCCCAAGAAAAAAAAAAACAGTTGAAAGGGAAAGTTCTGGTTAAGAAAAAGTATTCTACCAGATCTTCTACTACAATGAAATAAATGTTTAATAGAAATAACAATGATCCAATTAATATTGGCTGAAGTATTATGCCAAAATGTAATATTTTTTGTCAAACTATGATGCCAAAATGTAATGGTAAATCTTTTTTTTTATTTTTTTTATTTTTTATTTTTTTTATTAGGCATGTTTTTTTGTCAAACTATGATGTCAAAAATGTAATGGTAATTCTGTTCGTATTAGGCATGTTTTTTTTTTTTTTTGGTCAAACAATGGTAAAAACAGTTTTTGGTGTAACGTTTTCCTATTTATCATTATTATTATTATAACATTATTATTATAGCATTAGGATAGGTTATGATAATATTAAGTATTTGATATGTGATGCAACACTAATAACCTAATGGCTAGACTTCCATTATGATTAAGAGTTTGGTTAGGGATTAGGAGACCTAAAGACATACAACAACCACAATGATGGCCAATGGTTATATAAGGTCACTAGCCCTTTCATTGCTCACACTACCTACCTCATACACCATCTAGAGAAAATTGAGTAGAAGTGAGAGACACAACACTCGTGTAAACTCTGCAGCAGTCTGTATTTGTATAATTGAGATACATATTTGAATATTTGTATGCAACTATATGTCTGGTTGCAGAAAAATTAAGGTTTTTTTTTTTTTTTCTGCATTAAGAAACCAAAAAAAAAAAAAAAAAATTGAATTTTTTTTTTTGGCTTCCCTACTGCTTCACCGTTTTTTTTAATCCGATCGCTAGATTACAAACTCACCGGCGGCCATTTTTCTCCTACTTCCATCGTTCTCCCTTCAGTTATCGTCAAACATGGAGCTTCTTTTCCGATGATGGAGACGGATTAACGGTGACAAAGGCATGACCTTCAGAGACGTCGTGTTTTGCATATCGTCAGCCAAGCCAAACCAGCTTCTTTGTCCAATTGGGCAGAGAAGTCAAGCGGTGACTTAAAAAAAAAAAACTTAAATTAAATTATTTTAAATAAAAATATAGATTTTTTTATTTTAATTATTTTTAAAACAAAAGAAATTTACCTGTGTAACTTAATTGTAATATGCTAATTAACTTATTTGCACAACCGTGAAAAGATGAAGGATCTAATTGAAACTTTTGTTAGTTTAAGGGTTTAATTGCACTTTGACTTATAATTGAAGGGTCTATTTGCCTCTTTATCTCAAAAAAAAAAAAAAAAAAAGTTTCAATACTGGAGTTTGGGTCATCAAATGGAAGATAAAACATTAATTAAAGTAAAATTTAACCTATGAAGCTTCTTTAATATAGAACGTAGGAAGAAGCTAATCATTAAAAAAGTTTCAACACTGGGTCATCATAAAATGTTACTCCGTAGTAGACAAAACGACAAGAGCCAACTGCAGGGCAATCGTTATGCCTTGGACCCGTGTCCAGCATGCTTGCTGGACACGGGTAACAGTGCCGTTAGGCACTATTATCTCCTTTTTTTTTTTTTTTTTTTTTTTTTTAATTTCAGATCACTTTGTTATAGAAGTATATGTTCATAATTTTATTACTATATGTTAATAACTATACATTCATAACTCCATAACTGTACGTTCATAACTCTATAATTGTACATTCATAACTCTATAACTGTACATTCATAACTTCATAACTGTACATTCATAACTCCATAATTGTACATTCATAATTTTCGAAGCTCTATGTTCACAATTTTAGAGCTCTATGTTCATAATTTTATCACTATATGTTCATAATTGTAAGTTCATAATGTTAGAGCTCTTTGTTCATAATTCGATCAATAACTGTACATTCATAATTCCATAACTGTAGATTCATAATCTCATAACTGTAGATTCATAACTCCATAACTGTAGATTCATAACTCTATAACTGTACATTCATAATCTTCGAAGCTCTATATTCACAATTTTAAAGCTCCATGGTCATAATTTTATCACTATATATGTTCATAATTGTAAGTTCATAATGTTAGAGCTCTGTGTTCATAATTTCATAATTGCATAACTGTACATTCATAACGGCATAACTGTACATTCATAATCAAAAAAAAAAAAAATAATGCCGTTAACGCCAAAACACGCGCGAAATTTTTTTTTTTTAACTAATGACGCGTTTTTTTTTAAAACCGACGTCGTTTTGGGCCCGTGTCCACAATTCAATGTAGACACGGGTCCAGAGCATAATTTGCCACTGCAGGGAGTGCAGGCCTTGCTTTTGAGTAGTCGCTATTCGTTTAGTTTTTTTTGTCTACATCTTTTTTTAATTATGATTTTCCACTTCAATATTTTGTACTGTATTTAATAAAATTGTACCACTAAAATAAATAGTACAGTATCATATATTATGTTGAGATCGGGACAATTGTGATAGAAATTTGAGAGTGACTACTGACCTGTTGTAGAGAAGGTTATAAATTAAAAGATAAAGATTGTTATGGACATGCATTTGAATATTATTATTATTATTATTATTACTATTATTAATATTATTATTATTATTATAAATTTAGGTCATCCCACCAGATCCTAATCTTTATGTGCACATAAATAGTTGTTGTTATACTGTGGACCGCGCGCGGTGCACATGCACCGCGGTCAAAAGGCGCCGTTTCTTTACTTAAAGAAATGACGCGCATTTTTGGTGTGTTAATTACCAACTAAAACTACAGTGTATCTAAACTGACACTACAATGTATTTAAACCAACACTGCCTCACGTATTATTTTATATATTACCAAATGAAACTGCAGTTATATCAAAATGATATTATAGTTGCGGTGAAATGAAACTGCGGTGTATATAAAATGAAACTGAATAACATTTCACATATTTGAGTGTATATTGTGCAATAAAGTTGTAGTTATATCGAAATGATCATGTAGTTGTGTTTTAATGAAACTATAGTGTATATAAAATAAAATTAAATAACATTTTCACATATTTGAGTGTATAAATATTGAATGAAACTGTAGTTATATCGAAATGAAATTGTAGTTGTGTTGAACTGAAACTGCAGTGTATAACAAAATGAAACTGAATAATAGAGTTACTTTTCGCGAAACGAGTGCCATTTCTTTTCATTAAACAAAACGACGTCGTTTTAAAATTCAGTACATAATCAATTATGCACGGTGCACGATATAATTTACCTGCGTATAAGTGATCCAATCCAAGTCGTCAAGTATCCTTGGACCATTTTGACATTTAAGTCAGGTGACAAACTATTTGCGCTAAGCCTAGGGGAGCTGCTTTTGAATGTTATTACTTTAATATGTGATGTTATCACATCTTTGCTTGTTATTATAGTTATTTTGAATCATCTCAGTATTTAAGTTCTTTAATTTTGCTTATTTAATACATATTTTCCTTGCTATTATCA